GACGACGACGACGACGACGACGACGACGACGACGACGACGACGACGACGACGACGACGACGACGACGACGACGACGACGACGACGACGACGACGACGACGACGACGACGACGACGACGGGGCGACGACGACGACGACGACGACGACGACGACGGCACGCCCCAACAGGCTCCCCAAGACGCCCCCAAACCCATGCTCCCAGAAGGCCTTCTGGGAACCCGATTCATACAGCCTCCGCCCCCCCATACAACCATTTTTCTCGAAGGCCTTTCGGAATGCAGATTGGGATGCGTGGACTGTGGCCCACTACTTCAGTGGAGCAGTGAATTCGTCAAGGCCTGGGGCCTGCTAGAATCTGAGCGCGCGCGAAGCGCGCACGCGATGGTTCTAGTGTGTGTGTATATATATGTATGTGTGGTGCAATGCTTGTAGTTCAAATGTTATGCAATGCATGCGTTCCATTGTATACTTGCGCCAGTACCATCAGTTCCCCTTGTGTATGGTTCCAGCCAGGAAAGTTATGTTCCGAAAGTCCCTGGCGAACCCACGACACCCCCACAGGGCCCCAAGGCGGCCGTGGAGTACCTCAGAATGCCTCACGAGGGCCTGAAGCGCATTCCAACGCGGCCGCGTCGCGACAAAGATGGCCCAAGACGGGCCCAAAACGGCTGGTCAACGGCCCCACGGGCTCCCAATACGGCCCAAGGAGTCCCCGATAGAAGTCGTAAGAACCTCCAGAGGGGTAATCGTTCGACACGGAGATTCCATACGTGCATGTCAGTTCCTGGCAGTTCCGTTTGTGGGTGTCCGCTTGAGGGAATTTATTAGCCTTTGGAGGCGGAGCGCTCCCTGGCGGCTCCCCCTTGGAGAGCCCAGGTTCTGTGCCTACTACACAGGGGTGGTACCCATCGGTCGTTGGAAGTAGGCATTTTGGGACTTCCAGAGCCCAATCTACTTCAAGCGCCTTCCTATTTCAAGAATCGGCATGATTTTGCTGCGTTTTGTAACTCCCTGGGCGGGCCCGAACCCAATCTACTTCAATCTACTTTATTCGCCTTCCTACTTCATGTTTCTACATACTTGTTCCGACCGACGGGTAATGGGACTGTGAAAGGAGAGGGGTCGGGGGTTCCTAAACCAGCGTTTTGCCTGAGAGGTCCGACAATCTGGGCGCGAACTGGCGAGTGTAACGTTCCATGGCGGCCCCCCTTGGGGTGTACAAGTTCTATGCCTACTGCATCGCGAGGGTCATGAATGAGGCTCTGAGTGGGGAGGAGTCGGGGGGGGTGGGACCCAGCGAACCGCTTGATGTATCCTCGCAGTCTAGCTGCGAACGGTCAAGTGCAACATTCATTCACGGCTCCTCCTTGGGGAGCCCAAATGCTATGCCTGCTATATCGAAGTGATCACGGGGCTTTCAAATTAGAAGGACAGATCAGCGAGCCGCTCGAGACATCCCCCAAATCTGGGCGCGAACGGGCCTGTGGTACACCCCCTGGCGGCTCCACCTTGGGGTGCCCAAGTCTTATGCCTGCTTTACCCGCGGTGATTGTGAGGTTATCAAGAGAGAGAGAGAGAGAGAGAGAGAGAGAGGGAGGGGAGTCGAGGCCGCTGCAAGAACGAACTGCCTGAGACATCCCCACAAGCTGGACGCGAACGGGCCCGTGGTATCCCCCCTGGCGGCCCCCCCTCAGGTTGCTGCTCCTGCGGAGAGCCGGAAGCTTCCGGAGGCTCCCGGAGGCTTCCGGAGGCCCAGAAAGGGCCGGCAACATTGAGGATTTGCTCCTCGCCGAGGATCAAGTTTTGAGTACCCGATGCTCGAACCTTCGTCCCTCGATGGGGAGTCGTGCACAACACCAATCCCTCGATGGGGCATCGTGCGCCGAGGCTTCCTCGACGCTCGATCCTCTGCGACTGGAGAGGAGCCGGGCCAAACCCGCGGGGGGGCGCGAAGGGAATCTCGCGCCCCGCGCGCGCCGCGGTCGGGGCCGGAGCGGCTGCCCTCCTCCAGGGGTCCCTGAAACGACGCGAAGATCGGGACAAAATCGGATCGGGATAACCCGAAATCTCTGAGAATCGGCGGGTTTGGAGGATGTATTGGGCGCCGCGGCCGCTCCAGAGCGTTCCGGAACGCTCTGAGGGCGCTCCGGAACGCTCTGGAGCGATTTCTCCCGATCCTAGCCCTGTTTTGGGCCCGGCGCGACGGCGCGAGGCGGGAGAGCGCGTGGCGCACCACGGGGCTCCGGTGGACCCGAGAGGGGTCGGGGGTGGACAGACCTCTTACCCCGACACGTCGATTATCAGCCACGTGCAGAGGGGGGTGGGGGGAGGGGGGAGGGCTTCTTAGAAGCACCCTTGCTTCCTAGAAGGCGCGGGCTTTATCTACAGATGTGATGCCGGCGCCTTCTAAGAAGCAGCCTCCTTCTAAGAAGCCTTCCCCCCTCCCTCCACCCCCTTGTGCGCGCCGCCAAGATTAGTGAATTGTCCGTTTTCGGTCCTCGAGAGGGCGCCGCGGCCGTCATTTTCCAGGCTTGCGCCCGCCAGGTTCTGGCCCGAGGTCTTTTTCACTAAGCCATGTTTTACTAAAAGGAGGTCTGTCCATCCCCGAAGGGGGTGCAGTGCCGTTTTTAGTACATGCTCCGCGTGCGGATCATATATTGAAAATGCAGGGATCTAGTATCAAAAACAAGGATGAGTTCGTGCATGAATTGATTCATGAATTAGTCATGTAATACAATCCGATATGTAAAAAAATCCAATGTATTAAAGACTGCCCTGTGCAACGGAAGGTTTGCAACCGATGCGCCACCCCTCCGTGAAATGCTTGCAGACCGTGAGGACGAAAGGCGCGCGGCGCTGAAGCGAGAGCCGCATCGCGAAAGCGACCCGCAATGCCATCCCTGAGGCTGTTGCAAACTCTGAGGACGGATGTGCGCAAGAGGAGGGTGGTGCAATAGATTTGGTGCAATGGGGTTGCAACAGGTTTGGTGCGTGCGTTACTTACGCAGGAGGACAGATTTTCCTCTTGAGGTGCAAATGGCGATGATGATTTGGAATTTGATGACCGATCCCCCTCAATCATATAAGTTTAAAGCGCGGTAAACATCAGATACGCCGTAAAACATATGACCGAACACGGATCCAGCAAATCCGACATCGGATCCGCGCGGACGAAAATCGGATCCACCGAAACAAAACCAAAGCCACACTTGGATCCGCGCGAACTTCATGGGATCCGACGGCGGTTATCCCATACGCGTCTGCTCAGTACTTGAAGCCGTCGTTCCGGGCCCAAGAGGAAAAAACTTACGTCCTCGGGATGTTCAGCTTCGTGCGCAAATGGATTGCTGGAATGTTCGCGTGCACGATGTTCGTTGCAATACAATGTGCAATCCACTTCTCTGGCGCAATGCATTTGCAGAACACTTGCCCCGGACTTCTGGCACCACCCGCTCAGCTAGACCCCCTTGGGAATCAACGAGAGGGGCGCGATTGGCGAAGGTGGGTGACCCAGGGAAGCTCCACCATTGGAACAAATACACAGACACCCTCCACTGGGTTGTCCCTGGGCCTCAGGGGGTGGTGGCGGTGTATACATCACCGCCTCAGAGCCAGCGATCTTACACACAGGGAGGTACATTCAAACTTTGTAGGAGGGTGTCTGTACATCTCTTTCTACATGTATGTATGTTTATATTGATTATGTTGCACAGGGTGTCTAGAGCTCCGACCATCCGCGTCACCCCCCCCCCCGCGTCCCCAGCGCCAGAGTGGGACCCCCGCGCCGTGGCTCTCTGCCCCGAAAGCCCCCGCGTCCCCAGCGCCCCAGCGGGAGCCCCGCCAACTGTCCCCTCCGCCACGAACGCTTTATTCCGCGTCGCGACGCACACCACCTCCCCCACCTCCCTCCACGCGTCCCCAGCGCCCCAGTGGGGGCTCCGCCCCGTGCCCCCTCCGCCCCGACAATTTTATTCCGCGTCGCGACGCACACCACCTCCCCCCCTCCCCCCCCGTCCCCAGCGCCCCAGTTGGACCCCCGCCCCGTGGCCCTCTGCCCCAAGCCCCGCCCAGTGCCCCTCCGCCCCGACCATTTTATTCCGCGTCGCGACGCACACCACCTCCCCCCCTCCTCTCCGCGCCCCCAGCGCCCCAGTGGGACCTCCGCCCCGTGCCCCCTCCGCTCCGAGCACTTTATTCCGCGTCGCGACGCACACCACCTCCCCCCCCTCCCCACCTGGGATTTGGGCCCCGTTGCTGGGCCCCGAGGGGCGATGTCTTGCCCCCTCTTCCCACCTCCTCCTCCACCACCTCCTCCTCCCCCTTTCTTTTTGTGCAAGAGCCACGGTACACGTGCCACTTGTTTATTCGTGGCGTAGGAGCGTCTCCTGCCGATTTCCTGCATTCGCTGTTCTAGCCTTCAGGCGGCGTGCCCGTTGCGCACTCGAGAACCGCATGTCTCCAGGTCAGGCTACCTTTCCGCGGAGAGCCCAGGTCTGGCCCTGGGACAAGCGGTCCAGTAACCGGAAGCCGAGGGGGGGGGAAGAGCGAGGAGGAGGAGGAAGGAGGAGGAGGAGGAGGAGGAGGAGGAGGAGGAGGAGGAGGAGGAGGTGGAGGTGGAGGTGGAGGTGGAGGTGCAGGAGGCGGAGGCGGAGGAGGAGGAGGAGGAGGAGGAGGAGGTGGTGGAGGTGGAGGTGGAGGAGAAGGAGTAGAAGGAGGAGGAGGAGGAGGAGGGAGAAGGAGGGAGGAGGAGGAGGAGGAGGATGAGGAGGAGGAGGAGGAGGAGGAGGAGGAGGAGGAGGAGGAGGAGGAGGAGGAGGACGAGGACCAGGACGAGGACGAGGACGAGGACGAGGACGAGGACGAGGACGACGACGCCGACGACGACGACGACGACGACGACGACGACGACGACGACGACGACGACGACGACGACGACGACGACGACGGGGAGGAGGCGGGAGAGGTAGTCTCGATTTGAGCTGCGGTCGCCCCTGCCGCCAGGACGGGGCGGCACCGGAGGGTCTCGACGCCGAGTGGCTCGAGGGCCGACCGCCGCGGGCTCAGTTGCCAGACGCCGCAGGGGCAAATCGGAGAACCGTGCTGAGAGGCGTGCTGCTTCCCTCCCTCCCTCCTCCTATCTCCTTCTTCTCCTTTTCCTCCTCCTCCTCCTCCTCTTCCTCTCTCCTCCCTCCTCCCTTCTCCCTCCTCGCTCCTCCCTCCTGATGCTGCACGGCGTGCCGTTCGCCATTGCCCTGCGTGAGCCGCTAGAGGTGATGCGCCGCTTCGGTTTCGCTTGCAAGTGCGCCTCGGCTACGTGCCCTACCTTCCATGAGGCTGCACCGCGTGCCCTTCGAGGTGACCCAGCGCGAGGTGCTGGCGGAGATGCGCTGCTCCGATGTTGCTGTCAAGTGCGACTTCTGCCGCCCACCGTGCCCTCCCTGAGGCTGCACGGCGTGCCCTTCGAGGTGACCCAGCGAGAGCGGCCAGAGAAAGTGCACCGCTCCGATTTTTCTGGCAAGTGCGGCTTGGCGTGTCCTTCGAGGTGGCCCAGCGCGAGCCGCTAGAGGATATGCGCATGCCCGGTCGCTTGCTCTGTTGACTCTCCGTTCCCGTCGCCTCCCGCCTAGGACTTGCGGACCGCCCTACCTGCCCTACCCAGTCGGCCCGCCCCACCGCCCGGCAACCGCCGAAGGTTGGGAACGGGGGAGGGCGGAGGGGGTTTGGGCAGGGGGCCGATGTTGCCGCCGTCAGCAGCTTGGGGCTTGCGGGCCGCCCCACTTGCCTGGCCCGCCCAGCCGGCTCTGCTGCCCCACAGGCGGGGGCTGGGAGGGGGCGGGGGGGGGGGTCAGGCCTGGGGGCGGTATTGCCGCCTCTGCCCACCTGGGGTTTGCGGGCCGCCCCACCCTCCCTGCCCGCGCGGCCCGCCCCGCCGCCATGCAAGTGCCGCAGGTTGGGGGCGGGGGGGGCCGGTGGGATAGGCGGGGATCTTTCTGACCACCTCCACCCGCCTGGACCAGGGCGGGCCACAAGTAGTCCTCCAGGGCGCCTTGTCGGGGCCCTTCTGCTGCGCTCGGGGTGGAGGCGCTCGCAGCGGAAACGACGCCGAGAGGGGAGCCGTCACCAACCACGGGCTCGAACCACAGGCTCCTCCCTCCTCCGTTTTCCGCCCTCCCTCCCTCCCGCCCTCGCTCGCTCCCTCCCTCCCTCCTCCGTCCCTCCCTCCGTCCCTCCCTCCCCTCCCCCCCTCCTCCTCTTCTTCCTCCTCCTCCTCCTCCTCTTTCATTCCTTTTCCTTATAACTAATTCCTCCCTGTAGCATCCGATGCCAGTTTTTAGGGCGGGCTGGGCGTTTCGCATGAGACTTCCTCACCACTTATGACTCTGAAGCTTCAAAATTGACAACAGTTTCACAGATGGAGGGCGGGTGGTTTTCAAAATGTGGCTCTCGCCCCAGCGCCGCTCACACTCGTTCTAATCATTGGCAAGCGTTTCGCATATTGAGGATAACGCGTTTTCAAAATGTTGCTCTCGCTTTAGCGCCGTGCGCAGTCCTTTCAAATATCTGCAAGAGCTTCACGAATTGAGGATGACCCGTTTTCAAAAAATGGCTCTCGCCTTAGCGCCGCGTTCATTCGTTCTTACAAATAGCAGGAGTTTCACGGATTGAGAGCTGCTCCTTTTCAAACCGTGGCTCTCGCTTTAGCGCCACGCACATTCGTTCATAATAGTTGCAAGGGTTTCACGGATCCCCACGATCAGCGCACCAGAAATGGTGTTTGGGAGGGATTCAGGATTTCGCAGGCGCAAGAGTTATGTTGATTCGCGGTATTGAAATCCCAGAATGGCGTCGGTAGGGCGGGTCGGGCGTTTCGCTTAAGATCTCCATACCATTGATGATTGTAACATTTGAAATTTGCAACAGTTTCACTGATGAAGGGCGGGTGGTTTTCAACATGTGGTTGTCGCCTTCACGCCGCGCGCATTCGTGTTAAACGTTCGCAAGCGCTTTACATATGGAGGGCTGGCTGTTTTTCAAATGTGGTTATCGCCTTTGCGCCGCGCACATTCGTGCTAAAGGCTTGCAAGAGTTTTACGTATGGAGGGCGGCTCATTTTCAAAACGTGGCTCTTGCCCTTGCGCCGCGCGCATGCGTTTTAACAGTTTTTCAAGTGTTTCGCGGATTTGGGGCGGCCCATGTGCAAGATGTGGCTCCCGCCTCAGCGCCGCGCGCAATCGTTTGAACAGATTACAGCAGTTTCAGGCGTTCCCATTGTTGACGTAGTAGAGATGGCATTTAGGCATGATCTAGGGTTGCCAGGTCCCCACAGTCACGTTCATTCGCGGTGTGGACGTCCCAGAAATTGTGTCCTGGCACGATTTAGGATGTCGGGTCGGAACAGTGATGTTGATTCACGGCGTTGAAGTCCCAGGATTGGTGCTCTGACACGGCTGCAAATTTTCAAATGGTTGTCTTCCAACGGGGCTTTTCCCACAGTGCAAGCAGATCCTTGAGGAGCTTGTGAAAAGGGAAGTTTGAAGATGCAGCATCGTTGATGAGTTTTGGGTTTGCACTGGTCCTCCTCCTCCTCCTCCTCCTCCTCCCTCACTCACCCCCTCAATCCTTCACTCTCCGCTTTCCGCTCCTCTGACGGTGGCCCCGAAGGAACCAGCGCAAACCACAGTGCCTCCACACGCGCTCCAGGAGAGAGGACCAGTGGCAACACCCCGATCCGACACCTCATTGATCAGAGTCCTCCCAACAAAAGCCCCGTCTCTCGGCCATGACCTCATCGAGCCCCTGGACCCAGCCGACGTGGCGAGGTTGCAACGGGGGCATCACAGGGCTGGGCCGTGGGATGGGCTGCTCGGAGGTAAGGTCCTTGCCTCGCTTCAGGTCCTTCAAAGCTACGGCGCGGCCTTCCGCTGGTGGCCCCACGCAGTGTTCGGAAAGCGCAGGGATCTCTCTTTCCCTGCGTACGCGCCACATCGGCTGCACCAGACAAGGCCTTCAGGACCACCCGACCACAAGAGCTTGCGAGACCAGCGGGCCTGGGCTTGCGGCAAGCTTTGCAGGGACCCCAGGGTATCTAGACTGCACAAGTCGGGCCCGACACATAAAAACAAATCGGCCACCAGTCAGGCAACTTCAGCGGCCGCCTTGCCACTCAACGTGCTGCCCTTTGGGATCCGACACGAGCTCGAGCGGGTCGAATACACGACGAAGCCGAGGCTCTTGAGCATCCGGAAAGGAGTCGGCCGTGAGATGCCCAATAATCCTCCAAGCATGAAGTCGCTGACCCACGAGATCAGCTTACGCTGCTTCTCCGCGTCCTCGGAGAAAGGGTGAATCCTCGCGCCTCTCTTCGCAAAGGTATCGGCCAACCGATTCGCACGAAACTGGAGCCATGGGACATCCCCTGAGCCTTTGCCTCCTTCCAGGAGGCATGGGATCATATCCAGATGCGCTGAACCTGATCCGAGTCAGTTTCATTCTGCTTAAACGGGATCCTACACCAAATCTTTGAATACATCTTGGATCTGCGGCAGCCCGCTTCGGCTCCTGCCACTACTCCATCCACAAACATTTTGCAGTCGGTGATGACAGTGAGCCCACCCACCGAATTATAGAGACGCATGTGAAAGGCCCAGAACTCAGCCGCCCCAATCTCCTGAAGGACTAGGGGGAGGGGCCCAAAAATGGCCCCCTCAGAGTCTCCATGGGGCCCATGTTGACGCAGGACCATCCCGCACAGGAGGCGTGTGAGAAAGTAGGATTCATGCAAGACCCTTCGATCCCAACTAAGCCCGACAGCGCTTCCCCCACGATCGGCCCGTCAATGCAAATCACTCCGTCGAGTCTGGCAGGGGGCTGCTCGGACAAGATAGGATGTTCGAGTCTAGAGGCCGACATTTTATGATACCGATGCCGTACTAGACGCCCTGAGCTTGAAGATTACGAGCAAGGGTCGTAACCATTTTGGCTCAAGATCCAAATCTCCTATTTTTTCCTCACCACTCATACCAATACCTCTTATTCTCTGACCATCTACACATCCGTGCTGTGCAGTGCAGTGTTGGACAGTGTGTACTAATACGAATGCGAGTGCTCTTGCCGGTGGGAAACATATTCTTTCGACATCTGAACCTCATCGCTGTCGCTTTCGACATCTGAACCTCACCTGAACGACAGTGGTAGCGGAGCTATGAGCAGGTCTGGTTCCGCGGACCGATGACGGCAGCAGCGGGGCAAGATGATCATCGGACACCATCGCAAGCAGAACATGGGGAGCATTCGGCAGTACGTACAGTGACTGACACGCTGATGCGGCAGGAGGGTCTGAACCTCGGCCAGGACGATGCGGAGAAATTGGCGCGTCTTTCTCGGCATCTTCCCCAGCGCAGGCAGCTCTGCGGAGGGCAAGGACGCCTCCGAGGAAGGCAAGGGCGCTTCCAGGGAGCAGTGATCGGGCCAGTGAAGGTCCGGCAGCTGGTGGTCAGAGACGGGGACACATTCGTGGACCGGATGGCGAGGTCCTCATCCAGAACATGAGTCGACGAGTGCCAGGGCATGGTCCAGTGGCGGCGCGGCAGCGTCCGCCGCCGAGACGTCTGATGGCCAGTCGGAGCAGTGGCGAGATGGCGGCAGGAGTGCATCTGGACATACGAGGCAAGAGTCGGGCCGGGGGCCCAGCGGACAGCCATGGACGTCCTCAGGCCAGTCGTGGACGCCCGCTCCGGCATGCTACCCGTGGAGCGGCAGCTGGGATCGCACGTGTGGAAGGACGGCTACTCGGGCAGCGCTGGGTCAACAGGCTGGAAGGGGAACGACAGCAAGTGGGAGCCCAATGCTTACGATATAAAGCGCAACTCCAAATACGAGGGCGAGCGCTCTGGCAAGGACTTCGAAGACCCAGAGAAGTGGACGAGTTGGAGTGAATGTGGCGCCGCAAGGTGCATCGCTGGCGGACTCTGACAGACGATCCACCACAGAAGCCTTCGTGCTTTGGACCAGGCTTTCTAGAGAGAACTGGAGGACATCGACGACGTCACTC